TTTGTTATGATCAGGGTTGCAACGGCATCGGAGTTGTCATAGCAACGAAATGACACTATTACCTATTTTACTTGCAGCAGTATATCTCAGCACTGAGAACTGTTCTTCCAAAATCGTTCACGGGGGCGTTTTCCTCCAATAGCGGCCTCGATGTTTGTAAAGTTTAAGCGAAATCTGTAAGAGCGTTATCGAGATATTTTGGGATGAAGTTTTTATGGTTAGAAACAGTAAAAAATGGACAATATTGTTGTTTGGCCGTTATCTGTAGAAAATGAAGCGCTTTTTACATGCAATTTAACCTCATAGTAGTTTCAATCTTTTTAAAAACGTGTGTGAAAGATTATGGAGATAGCTCCAGCCGATTGCTAGAAAGAAGGGTTTTATTAGTATGTATCAAAGCGCTCTTGTTAGCGGTTTTGTAAACATTTTGGTCTTCTTTAACAAAGTAGCGAATAATTTTTAAACCGCTCGATAGATTTTTTTTAAGATTTAATATTCTTGAGATTAACCTTTTTTTTATATGACCTTTTAGTTTCAAGATTATTGATACATTGTAAGGCAGTAAAATAAGGGCTACAATTCGTTATTTTTCTATCGGAAGTTTCGTTATTACAAGTGAAAACCTCTCATTATTCAAGGCATTGTCTCCAAGTTTCATTTTCACGTGAACAACAGTAACTAACAATGCATTTGACATATGCAGAAATGCTAGCTATTGTTATGCGCGAAAATATGAACCTCGGAGACAATACCCTGAATAATGAGAGGCTCACATTTGTAAACACAAAATTTCTGCCAAAATATTGGCGAATTTTAGCCCTTATTTTACTGCCTTACAATATATCAATCATCTTGAAACTAAAGGGGCATATAAAAGGAAGGTTAATCTCAAGAATATTAATTTTTAAAAAAATCTATCGAGCGGTTTAAAAATTATTTGCTAATTTGTTAAAATAGACCAAAATGTTCAAAAACCGCTAACAAAAGCGCCTCGAAACATACTAATCAAATCCTTCTTTCTAACAATCGGCTGGAGATGTCTCCACGGTCTTTCACACACGTTTTTAAAAAGATTGAAACTACTATGAGGTGAAATTGCATGTAAAAAGCGCTTCATTTTCTACAGATAACAGCCGAACATCAAGATTATCCATTTTTTACCGTATTTCTAACCATAAAATCTTTATCCCAAAATATCTCGATAATGTTCTTACAGATTTCGCTTAAACTTCACGAACATCGAGGCCGCTATTGGAGGAAAAAGCTCCCGTGAATGATTTTGGAAGAACAGTTCCCAGTGCCGAGAAATACTTCTGTAAGTAAAATAGGTAATAGCGTCATTTCGTTGCTATGACAACTCCGATGTCATTGCAACCCTGATCATAAAAGATTTTTATCTTTATCTAATACAACTGTGGTGGCAATTTTTCCAAAACTTTGTTTATGGCGACGTAGTTTATGCTCAAACTTGGGAGGTATTGGCCTTGAAAAACTGTATCGAGCCACCTTAATTAAAGCACAAGGTTTAAATAGTTTTTTTGGGAAATATTTTTGGAGAAAAAAGTAGTTTTAGATCTGGAGTGTGAGTTCCTTTTCCTTTGACTCATTGAAGCTGTCAGGTCATTCAAATTTTTAACAGAGTATTGTGTATTATAATTCAGGAAAAATGCAAGTTGTTCAAGAAAATTTGGTAGGAGTTATGTTTTGTGAAGTACTCCTTACCAGGGGTTTCAAAATGTTTTGAAATAGGCAGCCGACTCTGGAAAAGTAGGCAGCTGTGACAATCAAGATTGTTATGACAAGAGTAGCTGGCAACATACAACTGAGTAGCCAGCAGAACTCTGGCAGTCGCCAGCTTGATTTGAAACCCCTGCCTTACTATACCCTCGACTTAACATAAGCAAGCTGTTTATATAGACCATGGCTAAAAGCAGATTATTTTTGGAGCATTATTTGTTGCATCCCCAGTATTTGCAAACTCAGGAAGTTGTTGGTAATTGTCTCTTTTGAAATAAACGTTTTCGATTTAGCTTGTTGCTTTTTTAGAAATAAGATCTATAGTGATATTGAGATCTGAAGCCCATTACTCAAGAGGCCCAGTAACTTTTCAAACCTGGAAAGCTATTTTATGTTGGCCGTGTTTGCATTCAAGAGCAAAGTTTCAATACAGGTAATTTTGAAAATGATACAATGAAGATTCTGGGCTGCTAATCAACAGGTTTTGATTTTAAAATTTGCCTCCAGGTCTGAAAAGTTTCCTGGCTTTTTGAGAAACAGGCCTCTGGCCCTAGCCTGAATTTTTAGATGTTCTCTTGAGTAGCATAATTCCAGTTATAAAGCAACATAGTATCCACTGGATAAATTTCCATCCAGTCAGAGTGTGTCACAACAGAGGAGTTTTGGTGACAGTTTTCCCTATACTTCATTAGGTTTAATATCTGATCTTGTTGATAGCATCATACCTTCTAATGAAATACCATGATTGCGTGAGTTAATTATTAAAATAATGTTGGTGATGGAATAATAGTGTTGGTTAAACCGTGTGATCTTCGGATGGTGTGGACCACTAAGTTATGCTTTTTCTTTCATCAGTGTAAACGCCCTTTGACCTTTTAAGATTGCAATATTATTGTGACAACTACTTACATGTAAAAAATAGTCATATACCAATACATATGAACTTTCTTGATTATCAAACTTGACTTCCAGAATTTCCAGGCAGCATGGTTTGGGTGAATAGAAATTATTATCATAAAGTTAAGCAAGAGCCATAATGGCTCTTGCATAAAGATAACACTAATAACAAGCAACAAAAAGTAAATAATATTTAGTTTGTGGTTTGCATTGGTTTTAACACAATAAACAGCTCACATAACTTAAATATGGTGTGGATTATTATTAAGATTTTTTGGAAGGGATAGGACAGAATGTGCAGACCATGCCCTCTCACACAGAGAGAAAAATTTTCAACCCCCTCTTACATTCATGAAAAGAAAAAAGGAAACCTGTTACACCCCTCCCCTGAGCAATACCTAATTGTCCTGAAGATCCAACTCTGCTCCCTTATTTATGATTATTCTTGACCCTCTTGGACATCAAATGCATCAAACTCTGATGTGCAGCGAATTATTGTAAAATTTCTTTATAGATAGGGTGTTATTCACATTTTAATACCAAGTTATTGCGATTATTGTTTAAAAAAGCCTCCTAAAAAGGCTACTTCATGTCCTCAAACTTTCAATCGGATTCATAAGGGTAGCTAACACTATAGTATGAGACAAAAAAGCCACTTAAGACTTTCGCGATAACCAAAGTTCCCCTAAGACATCCGAACACATAAATAGCTTTTAGGACAACTCCAAATTAACCAAACAGGCTTCTAAAGCACAGAGAAAACCATTTGAGACACTTCTGGCTTATTTGGAGACATTCGGTCATTGGGTACCCCTGATCATTGTAGAGACTGAGGTAATGATTATTGATGACTTCAAAGGGGCCTAAAAAACAGATATTTGTGCTGGAATTGGATGAATTTTTGGTTAAAGGCTAACTTTTCCAAACTTCAAATTCCTGGCGACATTCACCAGGATGGATGTTGAAAGCTTCGATTTGACCATTACATTGTAATGCCCAGAGGGGGTAGTCTGGATTTCAAGTAACGGGGGTAATCAAAGGATTTTTTGGGTTTAAAATTCTTAAGGAACAACTAAACTTTTAGGTCGAAAATTTGCATGATATTTGTTGGGGGTTACATTTTGGTCCAGGGTTTTTGGGGGGTTTTATTGGAAGCCCTACTGGCTAGGCAGTTTAATGGGTTTTGATTCTTGCATTTGATTGTCCCCATCACTTAAAATGAGGACTACTCCCCTGGCGTGTATTGACATCTAAAAAATTATTATAAAGTTTGTTTAAGACAGGAAAATTTTTATGGCTTCTCTGATTGTTGCAGCATTCCTGTCTTGCTGCTGGTTTACATCTTCGCTTGGGCAGATCGTGCCATTGATTGGAATGTCAAGAAGCCATTGTTCCTCAAATTCCTCCTTCATGATTTCACAAAAATTGTGCAGTACACAGCAAGCCGCAATAGTACAGTACAACAATTATTTACATTCAGATCTAGCCGCTTTGCAAGCGCAGGAAATCTTCCTTTTAATCTTCCATATCCATATCTCTACTACAACTCTCGATCTTGTGATGCTTAGAAGATTGTTGAACTGTAATTCCTCAGCGCTCAGGTTTCCTCGGTCCACGTAAGGCTTCATCAGCCAGTCTTGCAGTGGGTAAGCCGAGTGTCCAAGAATTAGTGGTGGCACCCTCACACCATTGATCGTTTCGTACACACTATCATCTGGGGTGAAGACACCACCACAAAGGGACGTGTACAGTGAGGAGTTTTTAAACAAGCGCGCCCCGTGCACTTTTCTAGGCCATCCAACACAAATGTCTAAAAACAAATAGTTCGCATCCACTAATCCCTGCAGAACAATCGGCAGCCCTCGGTTTCGCCCATATTTTTCGTACGCCGGGAACGAGAGGAAAAAAGTTGCGAGTAAGCGACAAAACAAACAGCTGTTGTAAAGACGCATCGGCGGCGTACATATGCCTGAAATCTCCTTCTGGCATCCCTTTTTCGTTTACAAATAAGTTGTCGTTCTTGAGCTTTCTTTGTCTGGGCCAAAAATAAAGCCATAGCTGGACCGTTCATCTTCAAATTCAATTTTAACTCACTTAAAAACTCCCGCAACATGAAGATTGCGTTGTTTACATTATGAAAGTGAGGCTGCAAACTTCAAGACGAGGCTGAAAGTAACTCCTACACACGTTTTCGATGTGAACAGTTTTTTAGCGAAACACGTTTAGTTAAACCAGTGTTTATCTAAACTGTGTTTAGTTAAACATGTTTAGTTGGTGTGAATGGGGTATAAGGTATGAGGTCTACTCATGATAAATTACCTACTAATCCTTTTAAGTTAAATGATAACTGTCTTCTGTCAATTTTTAAAAATTAATCTTACAAACTTTAAAAAGGACAAACCAGTAATCGACTCCTGAACAAACTTTATCTTCCAATTGGAGATACTGCCTTTTTGTTAGTAGCTGATATATATGAAAAGTAACGAACTAAAATGTAAGAACTTTTACTTTCTTTTGCCGAGTTTCGTTGCTCATTATATTAGGGATTTATAGCAGCTTTATTGAAATAATTCAATGCAGTACGTAAACCGCAGAATATGTAACCTGGCTACGTAAACTACAGGTTGTCACTCGTTTCCATTCTCCAAAGCGACCTTTGCTTCTCACTTTTCAGAAGAAAAAAATGTCAAGAAGTGTTTGATGTCGGCATTATCGGATTCAATCCCGGGTGGGGGCGGCATACTGCTACATTGCCCATACTGCTACACCATGGTGGCTTAGCTGGCCAAGGCCGTTTTGATTTACAGACAAACGTTTACAGCAAATGAAAGCACCGTTCCGAGAGAGTGCGTAGCCCTAATCACAGCTATTCTCAGTGCTTACTCTAATCAATATAGTCATTACTCTTATCACTATTTTTACTGCTTTAACACCCTAATCGCCGCAAAGTCAGTCCTTAAGCCTTATCACCATAGTCAAGTCAGTGCTTATCCCTAATCACCATAGTCAAGGTGCCCTTCCACTGTAGAGAATTTCTTTGAGCAGACATGTCATAAGGTGTTCGACGTGATTTTGGTAGAAAGAAATGAGTTTTCGCCTATACTTCTACAAGGTAGCCTGCGAACTGCAGACGTATTTCCGGTCGTCGCTTCTCTTCCTCAGAAAAAATAACGTCGGTTTGTTAGAGGCAAAAATTCCCGTTTGCTCTTCAAGGCTACTACGAGGGCAGCTAGCCTTCTTGTGCGTCCGCGTCCCTACCCTCTTGTGGGAGGCGGATGCAGATCGGTCTCGGTATCGGAATCTAGCCTCGTTAGTACGCATGCGCACAGGATAGTTAATTTTCCGACAACAATTAGTGGAAGAAAATTGAGAAGTAACGTTATTCTGCTATGTTTCGATGTATCCAACTTTATCAGATGGCCTTTCGTGTGTCCTTGCTTGTTATGCAAACGTACTAATAGAATACGAACTTCGCTTTTTTTTTATCATTCTTGATACCCAATCATGTTGGATACATCAAGACGTCGAATAACGTTACTTCTAATTCTTCTCGTTTAATGCTAAATTAGCGCGGTTTACTTACTTTCTAAATCAATCAAAAAGTGAACTGAAATCATCAAAATTCCTACCACAGAAGGGTGTTCCCACTTAGTGGTTAGAAACTAAGCATCCTATGTTCGAGTTTTTATTAGTTCATGCTGTATGAGTATATAAGTATATGTTGTAATAGGTTAGAGAGTAACAACGTTTGGTTTTTTAACACTTCGACTGGAAAATGCTTTAATTGTCAACAAGCAAATGAACGGTCTGGGAGATAACAACTTTTGATTTTTGACCCTTAAGGATGAAATAAATAGGATCTGTCTTTCCCACATCCTCAGAACGAGTAGACTTTGCGTAAACAGAGAAAACTACACAGCGGCCTTTTATCACTAGTTTACCAGCTTTACGTCGTTTAGGGTTTCGATGACGACCTCGTCGTACGATATAGCCCAGTCTGTCCTTCAGGACTTCGATATGAAATATTTCAGTGGCCCCAAAGTTGCATACCAGGAAATGGATGAAGGTGGGTCTTCCCAGAGGAAGAGTGTAAAGATTGCTTGCATACTTGACCCTTAAAACAGCCGTAGTTGGCCTGACCGTTTTTCGGGAAATTCTTTCAAAATGGTAACCATTTTGTGTGACGCCTTTTAGCTTAAGTTTGAAAGACGGGACAAGTGCGTGAGGATTAAAGCTGGCAATGAAATGACCTTGGCTTTGTGGCTGAAGGGCGAAGTCACTGATGAGGTTTCCTTCTGTGGATATGAGCTGGAGTAGAAGCGAACTGCTGTTTAGTTTTTCTGATCCAGCCACTGTGATTATGATTTTGTTCAACTTGCCTACAATAAAAGCGAATGTACGAGATTAAGCTTAACTGTCGAACGGTGCTAACCACAGGATTCCTTAAAGTTCACGAGTCCGAACGTTTCAACCGATTAATTTTTTTATTTGAAAGATCATCGGTTGGCTGCGCATGTTATGAACTTGGAATTCCTTTTTTTGAGCCATAAGCAACGTTCAGCATTATTCCTTAACACCGTAAATAAATACGTAAAAAGGATAGTTGAGGTGATTCAGAACGCATTTTGTGTACTGGATAACCGAAAATTAAGATTGAATAGTTGACCTTTCGAAAACAGTGAAAGAAACTTTAATGCCACACCCCAGCGGCAAGAATCTGACAAGTTTTTAGTCCATCATGTAAATACTTCTTATTAACCAGAGTAAGGTCATTACAGGGAAATCTCAGACCAAGGCCCTGGTTTACTGACCGAAATAGCGAGGACAATACATTAAGGCCGATTCTGTCAATTGACCATAATATGGATGTCCACTATCAAGTTTTGCGTTAAAAACACAGATTGTATATGCCTTGGTCACCTAGCTAGTAATGCCCGTTCATTACAAGAAAATCTTGGCTTGGCAGCCAATTAGAGGGCGCGTACTATCGTAGCCATATATTAATTCTTGGATACTGTAAACGTGACTGACTTACCAGTAACTGGATTTGAAATGGGAACGTCAGCATTGTGTCCCCTGCGCCAAGACAGTGCAATTAGAAAGTAATGTTCGAAATCAACGTTAGTGTCGCTGCTTGTCTTGACAGAGAACTCATGATCACCATTCTTGCCAGGAGCCGTTAGGGTCCAGGTTCCTCTCTTTGGATTGGTGATTTCGTAGATGGTGATATATGACAGACTAAGTTTTCCTGACGTTATTTCCACATTTTCCGGGTCTTGTAAGGTAATATCGTGACCTGCTGTAAGGGGGACAAAAATTGAATTTTAACAGTAGCTTATACACTGGTTCCTTTTATTTCATTGATTTTTGTAAAGAAAAACAATCTAGGTAGTCCGATGCATTGAATTTATCTCAAAACAAACGTGTATTCCTTTTATCCCTTTATCTCTTGCTGCCCTTGAGGCGAAGTCCGTTTCTTTTCCCACTCATTTCTTTACCTTCCTTATTTCTGGTCACTATTTGCTTCTAACTCCCGATAACTCGAACTTTTTTCTATTTCCCCGGAAGGTTCGAGTTATCGGGAGTACTACTGAAGAGGTTTTGCTTGAATGGTGCACGTCCAAATTCAAATGATAGAACTGCACACCTAATAAATAGTAGCAAGTGAAAGTACTAATTAAAACTAAAAGATGGCGTTTCATTTGCCGGAGTGAATGGTAGGTTCTACCATCGGATTTCATACACAGGCTCAAAAGTTATAGGTTGCGAATACAGCCGCCTCTTATTCCTTCACATCGCTGGGACGTCATCGCGACGAGGATCAGTGAGGGGCGGCTGCATTTCCAGGGTTTCCATTTCCAAGTTAAGGCTATCTTATAAGACTCATTTCTTACTCTGGGAGTGAAAGCTAGTGTTAAGCAGTATCAGAAACTCATAACGCGTTGAAAGGTGTAACTCTCACCCAAAACTCGAGAAAATTCATTTTCAAAGGTACCCGAGCAAATTTTTCTGCAGTTAAATTTTCTAAAGACTGTATTAAAGTTCAGGAAAAGAAAAAGAAAGTCGCTGTCTTGTGTTTTTGTGTCGTGGTCTTGCAGCGATGGCAAAGAAATAAACAAAAAAAGTGTGATGCACGTGCAAAAGTTGTTGTTAAACCGGCTTTTTGAGGCCGCAGCGAGGGTTTCCAAATACGGTACTTAGAAATATAAATATTCACGAGAACTGAACGCGAGTTACACGTTTCATCTAGTGAGCTACTCGTTTTCCCTTACACCATGTAAATGAAGTTCAGTTCTTGTCCCAGTCATTAACAGTGTAGGGTTCCAAAAAGTCTCCAAAATCCAGAAGGTTTTAGTGTTTTGGCTTTATAAATATCTTCCTGTACTGTGTATCTTTACTTCGGAATAAGCCAGTCACTTCTACCCTAGCACCTAATGGACAATCGCCCTAACTTTGAAATTGCGTAAATGATTCTTCTACACATTCATATTCACCAAGCTTATATATCGTACCTCCTGCCGCGGTATTAATGGTCACAGACATTTTTTCCATAGAGTCATCAACGGGAATATTATATCGACTGACAGAGGATCCATCAGCGCTCCTTTTTGTTCTTCGTCTCGTGGTTGATCCATCGCCCACGATACTATCACCCTCAAGTGTCCCGATTGTCAAATTGGTCACTTGCTCCAGTTCCCCCTTGTTGTTAAACATAATGGCTAGACCAGAAGTGCTCTTTGCCAGATCTTTGAAGGCTTGGTGAAGATTTTTTGGATTACCCGGCACGCTGTACTTTAGTGTGGCATTACAATAACCTTGAAAACGATTTAGTAACAACTTTAAATTCAGACTAAATTCGACTAAATGGTATGGTAAAGCGGCAAACGTAGACAAGATTATTTCAAGGGTGGAGCTTGAGTCCTCTCACCCTGTCGGCATTGCTGAGCCTAGCCTGCGTAGCAGGCGCTTGGAAATAGTGGGCCCAAGAAAGAACGGGCGCGCGGTCTCCCTCTCGCGCGCCCGTTTTTTCTTGCCTCCACTACTTCCAAGTGCCTGTTACGCAGGCTACGCAGGCTACGCAGAGCCATTTCTTTGCTCCTACCTTGTGTACCGAGACCCTGTACATGTTATAAACGTCCCTTGAGTGCCCCCCACCCCCCGGAGGGGTACCACTACATCATCGCGCCCAGAGTGAAGTCAGCGCTTCCATCGATTACGTCAGGATTGTGGAAACGCCAAAATTAATGGTCTTACTTTTGTTGAAATTGCTCCTCTAGTACACTGGAAGCTTATTTGTCTTATAGATCGTTTTCACTCACGCGGCAGCAGCAATGCAAATTTGTTAGAACCAACGACAGCTTTTACATGAGCAAAGAGTTCAATCCCGCACAGGGTTTGTTTCTGTACACCTTCATGGCCGCCTTTTCATTGTTTTGCACACCAATACGGGCGCCATGATGTCATGTGCAAACGATCTGTATTGAATAAGTGTGCTTGCCTAGCCACGGATGGTCTGGATTGATTAATTTTTCTCACTACGGTAACGAGGTAGACTGTTCACAGACCCTAGGCGTAAGTTCGTTGAGATCTAAAACTTTGGGTTACGGGCGGCCATCTTGGATGAGTGTAAAATCTGCTTAGGGGGCGAGGGACGGTTTGCTATAAATCCCGATCCCCGCACCTTCGGTACATGAAACTAGGATGGCCGCCCCTACCGGCGCGTTCGGGTAAGCTCTCTGTTCGATCTTAACGATCTTACGATAAAATAGGAGAGTGTGAACAATCTTATATCGAAGAGACCCAGAGAGGGAATCCGCGCCAGGTTAAACGTATAAAAATCATTGTCAAAAACTAAACTTTACACTTTCTCTATACCTGTTGTCAAGAAATTGACAACAACGTTATAATCCTGGACCATCAATTTCACCTCCTCAACGTCCAGAGCAGTTGCATCTTTAGGTCCTGCGTCAGTGAACACGTACATAGGAGAACGAGGGATAATTAGTCTGAAAAGTGCTTCTCGGATACCGTGGAATGTATACTCTGGACAGTCACCTCCACCATGGGGCCTCAGTTCCCTAATTTCTTGTTCAAACTCGCCAGCTTCTTTTTCAAGTTTGACAGTCACTGGATTTACATTAAATGGATCTACCAGAAAGTAAAAGTTTATAAAATAAGGAACTGTATTCAAGTTCATAATTCAAATGGCGTATCGTTTGTTTAACATTAGATCCAGTAAAAGTTTTAATGGATCTTTTAGCCTGAGAAAACAGCCGACATTTGGCGACGCTACTACTGGTTTCCCCGCCAAATGACGTCTGAGAAACGAGCGCAGAAATTCCATTCTGATGACGCATCACTACCCAGATCTGGGTAGTGCTTCTGATTGGTTGAATCAAATTTCCCACGCGGCACGACCAATCAGAAGCAATACCCAGATCTGGGTAGTGAAGCGTCATCAGTATGGAATTTCTGCACTCGTTTCTCGCACGTCATTTGGCGGGAAAACCAGTGGTAGCGTCGCCAAATGTCAGCTGTTTAACCTTTTCTCAGGCTATGGATCTTAACAATCTACATGGCATACTGCTGAACAGTATTGATATAGTGAAAGGTTTGAACCCAGAAGTCATTTCAAAAGTAGGTTGAGTTTGATACATGATCCGACAACAACGAAGCAACAGTAATTTCCAAAATACGAAGAAAATCCACAAAATAGACAAAAATTTACTAACCTGGATATGGGTCATTAAATGCTGACAAAATATACTCCTTGATAGGAACCTTCCGCTTATAATTGATAATATCAGCAGCAATGTTCTTTGCGGCCAGGATTTCATCGCCCATGCTGCCGGTATCATCTATAGCAAACATCAGAGCCACATCTCCTTGCACAGCCAAGAAGCTATCGAACGTAGCAGCACCGACTTTTTGACGGAGATCCTGAAGAAATTTTCTTCCCTCGCCTTTCGAGCTTCGCTTTGTCCGATCAGATGGTGCCGCCTTGGCGCTCAGTAAATACATGATCTGTCCAACGATCTGAAATGTGTTTGAAGTTCATTAGTAAAAGACCACCCCATGTAAGGGTCTGTAAGGGCCGGATTCTTGGATTCTGGATTCCACGCCATGGATTTCCGATTCCAGGTACTTTGTCAGTGGAACGTGGATTCCGGATTCCGATCTCTAATGGGATTCCGGATTCCTTGAGCTGTATTCCGGACTTCAAAGCGCAGGATTTTGGATTTCAAAAGCAAAAATTCCCCGGATTCCACAGTGCCACTGACTTTGCAAAACCGTGAGTCAAGGAAACTACTAACACTGAGAGAAACAGTGCAACGTTTCCTTACTTTGGGAACAAGAGACCAACACTTACCATACATTACCAAAGAAACTCTTTTAGACAAAACCGGTATTTGTCCGTCGTAATAAAGTATACATTTTTTGGTGCCCTTTGGGTATTTCGGGATGTTACTAAAACGAGGAACGGGAAACGGGGAACGGAGAACGAGCGCGGGTAACGGGAAAATTAAAAAATGGGAACAAAACAGAGAATTGCCAATAAAGTTACTGATAGGAATAGGGGTTAAGATAAGTTTTTTCCCCATTTTTTCATTACGTCATTCCACGAGCTTGTTCTCGGTCCCCGTTGCCCCGTTCCCCGTTTTAATAACTCTAGCCGCGAAGAAAAAAAACTCCGAGAGGATTGTTTTGCAGACACCAACGAAAGAAGAACTGTTACGATCCAACGCAAGACAATTCGCTCTTTCATTGCCTTTACGTATTCACTTTTGAAGTGAAACGATTTAACATGAAGATACCCTTTTTGCTTATGAACAGTTGTTATCTCTTCCCATATCACTGACAAGGAAGTAGAGATATAAAGATTTCCCAGTGGCTCACTGCTTGGTCGTTGACACGAGTCGGGAACTGATTACATTTTCGTCGAAAGATTTTAACTAGACAAGGTTGCAACGGCCCTATTCAGTACGAGGAGTTGCTCGATAAAAAAATGTAGAAGAAAGCCTTAAGAGGGCAAGGAAACACATAACACAACCTAAACTTCAAAGACAAACTTCACGCCACCATGGTGGCATGCCCTGCTCACGTGTTTAAAAAAATTCTCTTGAAACTTGAGGATACATTTCAGTTGCATTTAACCATTGAACTGTTATGTTGACATCTATAAATTTCAGAGGATTTGCAATTTTTCGCCCAAAACTTTTTGTGCTTATGTTATGTGACCCGATAGGCATAAAATAGTAACCCACGAAACGAATGTACGCGCTCGAGCCGCAGTCAGTAACCGAAAAAAAACTCAAGCTGTGTCAGACGTGTATCAACGAATTCTTGTCCACTTTAATAAGAGTCTGTCAAAGCCTAGATGGAGACACTGAAGAGACTAATAGGTAAAAATCGTTTTCAAAAAACCGAGAAAAATTTACGCGCGGTGGGTGTTTGAAGGGCAGCATCCCCCAAGGTTCTTATAAAAGGACGATTGAAGTTGTAAATTGGAGTTTACTGTGAAATCCAACGATGGGATGGTCGCATCTTCGAATACCATAGGAGGTTTGAGCAGTGTAATCATTTTGGATAAAAATTTCTACACAGTAAAGACCTATGCCAAAACGCTATTTTTACTTAAAATTGGATGGAACTTTATGAAGCCCACGATACGTCATTTGTTGCTGCACTAAACCAGGAAAGTCTTTAATTCTGCAGTGCTCCCCATACTCTTCAGTGACTCTTAGGTCGATTTTCTTAACTCCGAAAGAATAATGGTGTTATGTTATTACCTGTCTCGCGTATTTATAGCTCTTACTCCGTATGGCTCTCTCGACAAGCACTTTCAGTTTAGCTAAGGCAGCACTGCTGTACTTCACATCTGAGGCGTTGGCGTTTGTCTGAGCTAATTCAATGTCATTAATTGCTTTCATAAATTTGTTAGACGGGGAAGCACGTATTCTGTACACTTCGTGTTTTGTCTGGTTTTTAACCACTGTTTTATTGAATGGGACCCGTAGTAGGGTTTCGACATCGCCGTTGGTGTTGACCTGCGTTGCCATTAGAATTTGCTTTGGCAAGTGCTTCCTCATTGAAGGATCAAACAAATCTTTGTAATCTTCCGATGGGACCCGGTCAAGGAAACCTGTCTTGATTTTATTCTCTTTCACTTCCACAAGTGTTGGCAGGTCATTTGCTTGACCAGCTATCAGCTCGTACGTTTTATTGACCATTTTCTTCGTTTTCTTTGGTTCTAGCTTGATCTCCACAGTTCGTTGGGAACCACGCGAAAAATCCATCAGTGCATCACGCGTGAATTGCAGCGAGGAAAAAAAGCTCCCGGAGGATTGTTCTGCATCCAACAACGAGAGGAGAACTATGAGGGTCCAGGCCAAGAAAACTCGTTTCTCCATATCGACAAGCAGGCTGTACTGGGTTCTTTAATATTCTTTGAAAGAAAGCTCAGCCTTATCCTTGGAGAGAGCAAGGAAATTTGCCGAGCAACTGTTTACTTTACTTGCCACTAAAACGGGAAGTAAGCCAAAACGTCTCTCATCGAGCTCGAGAGTCATTATACAGCTCACTTTACTTCACGCTTACACGGGAGCCAAGAGAAAACGTTTCAGGTCAAAAGATGATCTGGGAAAAGGTGCTGGATTTCCGGGAATGATACGCCGACCTTGTCCTCGAATAAGCTGCCGCACCCCTCTATTTCCCTCCTATCAGGAGAAAACTTCTTGAACAAGGATCTCATATCTCGTACAACTGCAACCGGCTGTTTGCAACAAACAGCTCTGTTAAAATGTGCGGAAATTCCGTGACCCACTGAACATAGAAATACCTGGAATACATGCACATAGTATAGAAAACGTAACATTTTCGGGTACCGGTTGGCACTAGTCCAATCCGGCCTTGCATCAGAATGTTTGTAAAACACCCATGCGCTCTGTTATTTGCACAGCCTTTGAAAAAATTGGCCAAATTGAAGAAAGAAAACTACGTAGCTTTCCCCAACAAAATTTTCTATTTCTAACAGTAAAATGATTTATAAGGGGTCTTACCAAAACAGAAGTTTCTTACTCTCTCTTCTTTACCCTACCCTCTCGTCTGCCTCCGACCTTTACGAACTTATCTGCAAATAATACACGAATTATCGTACCTGTCTGGCATATATAAAGCTCTTGCTCTGTACTGCCTTTTCAACAAGACTCTTAAGTTTAGCCAGGGTAGCATTGCCGTACTTGACTCCTAAGGCGTTTGCATTTGCCTCTGCTAGTTCAATGTCACCGATGGCCTTCATAAACTTGTTCGATGGAGAAGTACGCGGTTTGTACTCTTCGCGTTTCGTCTGATTGACTATCACTGTTTCATTGAATGGTATGATAACCAGGGGCTCGATGGCATTATTTTCTAGAAGTATTTGCTCTGGTAAGTTATCTTTCATCTTTCGCATCGATGGTATTGAGGAATTTAAAAAAAGTTTAATATGTTCAGATGATACTGTTAAAAATACGTCGGGCTCCTTCGTGCCATTACTTGTCTTTTTGCTGATGCCTTTCACTTCCACAAGTTTATACTTCGGGGAATATCTATTTGGGAGTGGACGTGTCAATTTATATGTTTTGTTGACCGTCTTCGTTGTAATCTTGGATGCCAGGGTGATGTCCACAGTTCGTTGCGAGCCACGCGAAAAATCCATCAGCGCATCACGGGTGAATTGCAGCGAAGAGAGAAAGCTTCCGGGGGATTGTTTGGCAGACAACAACGAAAGGACAGTTGTGAGGGCCCAGGTGAAGAATATTCTTTTTCCCATATTGTTGAACTGATGGTATTTTCTTCGCAGTGAAGAAATTCAATATGTAAATAATACTTGAGATATGTTCGAACAAGAAAAGTAAATAAACAGCCGTTATATCTCCTCGTCACTGACACGGAAGTAAAGATGAAGTCGCTCGCATGAGTGGTGAACTTAATCGCATTATCTGTAAACTGCATAATACAAGTTTTAAACTACCGAAGATTGCACCAGCCAGCCCTCTCTAGTAGCAGAAAAGGCTATAAAGTAAACAAGAAGAAAGCCTTAAATGGGCAAGGAAACGAGACAACAAAAGATTAACTTCAAACGACGACTTCATGCCACCATGTTGGCATGCTTTTCTCACCGATACCACGAAGTTCGAATTGTTTAGCAGCTAACAAAACAAAAGGCGAAATACCGAAACAATGCCGCTGTCCAAAAAGACAAAAGGTCTTTTTCCAAAGGCCAATGAAAAAAGAAGTTTCTGAGAGCTGGATTAAGCTACTTGGCAAAAAAAAAAACCGCAGTGGCACACTTAAAGATAATTGCCGCGAACTGTGGCTGAGTGCTTTAAAATCACGGTTGTTTTGAAATAAATTCAGTTTTGCGGACAGCAGTACCCTGAAGTAAAATTATTCAGAAACTATCTGAAGGGAAGCCAAAAAAAAAAAAAACATTGCTTCGAGTCAGCGGCGGGGACATGGATCGAGTTATGTAGGGTAAAATTACAGTACATGTATAAAGGAAATCCAGGGGAAATCGATTTCGGCTCGAGTTAGCACGAGGTTCGACGGTAGCGAGTCGACTACTATAATGTTGTAACCGTAAATCTGACTACTAGATTATTTTCGTACAGTAACTGCGGACTGCGTGACTTTCGGAATTAAGTCAGCCCTATTCATTTGGTGAAATCGCTATCTTGCTCCTTCCCCTTCCTTTACGTCCTTTTCCTTAACTTTAATTTTGAAAGAATAATTGGTGTTACGTTACCTGTCTCGCGTATTTATAGTTCTTACTCCGTATGGCTCTCTCTACAACCAATTTCAGTTTAGCTAAGGCAGCACTGCTGTACTTTACACTTGAGGCGTATGCGTTTGTCTGTGCTAGTTCAATGTCATTAATTGCTTTGACAAATTTGTTGGACGGGGAAGTTCGTGGTCTGTAAACTTCGCGTTTCGTCTGGTTTTCGACCACTGTTTTATTGAATGGGACGAGTACTAAAGGTTCCTTCATACCATTTTCTGAAACTCGCATTGTCATCAATAGTTGTTTTGGCAAGTTCTTTCTCATTGACGGATCGAACCAATTTTTAATATCTTCAGATGGTATTGTTGAAAATGCATCCGGTCTGATCGTTTTGTTATTTCCTTTCAGTTCTACAAGCTTCGAACCGCTTTTTGCTTCTCCCGTCGGCATAATGTACGTTTTATTGACCACTTCTATCGTCTTTTTTGGTTCTAGGGTGATGTCCACTGTTCGTTGCGACCCACGCGAAAAATCCATCAGGGCATCGCGGGTGAACTGCAGAAAGGAAAAAAAGCTTCCGGAAGACTGTTTTGCAGAAAACAAAGAAAGGAGAACTGCGACAGTCCAGGTGAAGAAAATTCGTTTCTCCATATCGGCAAGTTGGCTGTAAGGTCTAATATTCTTTGAGAGAAAGCTGATACTTATCGATCCTGAGACAGAGCAAGGAACTTTGAACTGTTTACTTCACTTGTCGCTGAAAGGGAAGTAAGGTAAAAGGTCCTTATCAGCTCAAGAGACATTATACACTGGCTCACTTTACTTCACGCTTACACTAGAGCCAAGAAAATGTTTCAGGTCAGAAGATGATCTCGGAAAACGTGTCGGATTTCCGCGAATGATACGCCGGCCTTGTCCTCGAATAAGCTGCTGCACCCCTCTCTTTATTTATTTTATTTTATTAGTTTACCACACAGAATAAATTATAGCAAGTAAGATAAAATACATAATAAATAGGTAAATAACATTAACTGAAATTAGTAAACAGCTGGGAAATGAGTGACTGTGACGGGGAAATCTCCAAAGAAGAAGCCAACGAGCTTTTAA